TACAAAAGAATACCAACAACTTATGTTGCAACAGTTGGAGGATTTGGATGTTAACCGACTTCATGCAATAGGTCGAAATGTGAAACAGAGTGAAATCAGAGCAAGGACTTACGGAAAGAAAGTTCTTCACAAGACATTCCAAAAAGGAGACCTAGTCTGGAAGACCATCCTTCCTACATATAAGAAAACTGACCAATTGGGAAAGTGGTCACCGAATTGGGAAGGACCATACATTGTTCAAAAAGATATTGGGAATGGCGCTTTCATTATTGTAAATCATGAAGGGAGAAGAGTACATGATTGTATTAATGCTAAATATCTGAAGAGGTATTATCCTGCCTTTTCAGATAACAAAATTGCCTGAAACAAAATATTATTTTCAGAACCCATTTATGGGGTTCGGGTTCGAACCTATTTAAAGGTTCATTTCTGTTAGTCATCATGTATTTGCGAGAAATTTTTTGCCTCTGAATCAGACTTTTCATCCCAGTGAGTGGATATTAGCTCTGGTTCTTCTTCAATAAGATCTTCCAAATCTGGTCGGTACCTTTCCCATTGGCTTTGCATGTCGTCTAGATCTTGATGGGTACGTGCTTGCATGTCTGTTAGGGCTTGATGTTCACGGTCAACAATGGTGCGCAATCTTGAAAAGACTTTTCGTTGATTGGAAAATAAATTATCCCAACCAAGATCTGGAAGTATGGTTGCTGCGTGATTTTCGATCATTTCCATGTGATGATGAAGATCAGGAATGCGGCTAAGGATGTCACGAAGAGGTTCATATCCCTCGATGATTTTTTCCATCAGGCGGATGACGCGATGAATGGTTCTTCTTCCTCGTTGGGAGAATCGGAATTTGAAGTCTAGTTGCTTGAGTATATGTAACAAGTCTTCTGCATGGCCTCCAATAGGGTGATTACCCACAAAGAAGGGTTGAATGACACCTTCCCAGTTGCTTGATGGAACATGAGGTCGGTCATTCGCCATGTTTGTTAACACTTCAAGTGTTTTGATTTTCAAATCTGCCTTGGAATGTGTTTCTTAAAATGTGAGAAACAATGTTCTTTTAAAGAAGGAGTTTGTTTCGATTCCTACAAAGTTGGAAATTGAAAGGTGATCCTTATTTTGAGAGAAGAAAGGAAAAAATGGATTACTAAGTCAGTTGTTGTTACAAAGGGGGAAGTATTACAACAGTGCCCCTAGGGCAGTTTTTATATGTGTCCATTTGATTTCATCCCTGGATAGCCTTCTGGTATTGGCAGCCGTCTGATATCTTATGATGAATTGGGATCGGGCTTGGGTTTTCAGCTCTTGATCCAATTCAGCTTCATTCTTGGTATACCTCTCAAGTAGACGCTGCTCATTGGTAATTTGCTTATCCAGGGTAGACTGTTCTTTCCTTAGTTCCCGCAATTCTGCCTCCTTTTTCTGAATGGCTTCATCAACTTGAGCCTTCGTGCTAAGGAGACCGCCCAGCCTTCCAGTAGTCTGCTGAAGGGATTCTCGGGTCTTAGCCAAAGAATTCTCCAGCGTTGTTTGATCGAAGTCGGGCTGGGAGGTTTCGGCTGACAGGAGTCCAATGACTAGTATTTCAGTCTTGAGCTCTGTAAGTCTTTCCATCAGCCAATGCAGAATGGGGACGGCTGGCGATTCCGTCGGAGTGTAGAAGAGAAGGCCACCAACCGTCTGAATGAGTTTGTCCACTAAGTCGGATCTCAATTCTGACATGGGATGGTTAATGGCCTCGGTGAATATAGTTCGGGCCTCCGCCGGAACCGGAACAGTCGATAGGACAGCTAAGTCCGAAGGCCCCTGCAAGTCCTACAATGTCAATAAGTATTCCAAGGGAGGTGCAAATTTATTCAGATAAGATATGTGTTACCTCTGGGCGGACTGCTGTCAGTGAGGGGGGCAGCAATGAGGTCGGTCGAGTAGGGCAGACAGCTGGTATAACAGCAGCCGACTCGTCGGCTGCTGCGAATGGTCGCTGAGGTGCCGACCTGGGTCCCTATTGAAAGTAGTATGTAAAACAGTTAGTGTTTTCTGAAAGAAACATTGTAGCATGGGTTGGTTTAATCTTACCAAATTCACATAAGTCTCCGATTCGGATGAAGACATTTCTTCCATTTCTGGAGGTTGGGCTGCCGCAGGTGGTTCTTCTGCCTACCACTCGATGGCTAGAGGGAGCGCCGCTGCTGGCTGGGCGGCTGCAGGTTGGGCGGCTGCTTCTAGAGCCACTGCAGCCGGGATCTCTGGGGCACCTTCGATTTCGGGATCAGCAACATCAAGGATGTCGTTTTGAGGGTCAGCTTCGGCGAGGGCAGTTGGTCTTTCCTTCGAAATGGATGAGTCTGATGCCATGTATGGCGGGCGACCCATCTGGGAAATAGTTCCCTCGCTGTCAGAAGAGACCCCTGCTGCTGATCCGATGGGTGAAGGTGTCTGTGAAAAAATCATGGAAATATTGGTTGTTAAATATATCAGGGTTGATCATTAGAATCCTAAGTATTGCTGATGAGAGAACTTACTGGTTCTCTAGGCACTACTGGTAAAGATTGCCTCCTGGTCGGGTGCCTGGCCCGACCGCTCCTCGGTGCAGGAGGAAGAGTTTGCCTCCTCGTCGGGTCCTCCGCCCGACTGCTCATTGGCAAAGTGAGAAGTGGAGTAGGGGTTTGGAGAGGAACTGCCTCAGTCGGGACCAAAGGTTGGTCGGCCGGGGCTGGCGTCGGTTGTGTGGTCGGTGCTGCCAAGGTCGGTTCTGAGGAATGAAATGAGTGCCATCAAAGTTAAGAATAGTGAATTGGTTCACGGTTGTAAGGAAAAAATTACCTATTCGGGGTCGGGTCCTTGCGGACATCCTTGTAGTTCCAAGGTCCGCTGGTGCTTGCTGGTCGGCCCCAGAGGTCGGGGGTGTTGGCAGCTGGGACGCTTTCCTTTTTCGCGTTGGAGCACTAGACCCGATCCCCGGGGCGGCTGTTTGTTGTTGAGTGCTAGTATGTCTAGCCGCCCCTAGAACCAATCCTTGGGGGGGAAGGAGTATGTTCAGCAACCGACCCTCATCAGGGGAGATCAGGGGCCATACAACCGACCACCATTCATTGAATGTTTCTACAGTCTCAGGGTTGGAGCGGAAAGGAATATAAGAATTGGAAGTTATATACGTGGTGAGCTGGGAGATATAAGAAGGGATTGAATTCGGTAGGACTCGTCGGTCAGGGCTTTGAAAAATTATATGTGGACACGCGACGGGTCCAGGGATACCTTGGCAACAGCCGAACTGGCGCGCCATGAATTGAGGTTCATAATTAAAAGTGTAAAAGGTTTTCTGCCCCTTTTTATCAAGTTTTTTGCTACTAAAAAGAGACCTGGGTTTGAGGGCAACGTCCCAGGCAAAAGGATAAGTGGAATGAGGACAAGGCTCAGGAGTCGGAAGCGGATTTGGTACTGGAAAAGGCCAAAAATGGTCGGGAGCATAGCCCGCATACTTTTTATACATAGAAAATCGAGAGTTATTGCGGGTATCTGTTAAAACTGCGATTATTATTGGATCGGAAGATTGGAGTTTATTGCGTCCTGAGCAGAGTCGGTTAAGGGCTAATCCCAAATGTTTTTCAGCTGTTGGCATAGTGGGCGGAGATCCTAAGTTAAACGCGTTGGGGAAGTAAAGACGGAACCAAAGTTCTAAAAACCAAAAAGGACCCGATGCGGCAGTGTCTAATTTTCTACTATCATTATCTGTCAGACGAAGGCTAACCCTGGTGAGTCCTTCAAACAGATTGGCTAAAAACAGGGTGCCAAGGGAGAAGAACCGACCTGACGCGATATGAATTGCCAGGTCGAGATGAGTAGGAAGAACACATTTGGAAGGGGAAACAATAACGTACCTACAAAGCCAAAAAAGGATAAAGGCAGTATGCTCCCGGTCGGTTACAGGGGTCCCTGGAGCCCCTTGCTGGTCGGTTGCGAACTTTGTCCAACCCCATTCCTTCACACCTTGTAAAGACCACCCTGGATGGTCTTCTGATGGCTCCTGCCCATCTAGGGCTCCCATTACAGGGTCTTCACCCACGACTGGGAGATGCGCGATCATTGCCACGTCCATAAGAGTTGGACCAAAGGGGCCAGAGGGTAGGAGGAAAGTCCCATTTTCCGCATTCCAGAAGGCAGACATGGCCAACAGCACCTTCTCATGCAGGTTGATAGGCATGGTGGACAGTAGTATGGCTTGGTCGATTTTTTGCGATCGCCATTGGGCCTGGAAGTGTTCTGCTACCCGTCGATACCAAGCGCGGTAAGGATCTTTTGGGTCTGTGAGATGGGTTTTGATGTTGTCTCGAATGCGAACTGCTTGGTAGTTAGGATTGTTGATAGCCAAGGAATTTCGGGATTCCAAAACTTCCCTCATCCGATTTGAGTCTTCAGGAGTAGTGCAGTATGGACGGATCGTCGGAGTTAGTACTTTCGAGGCTGAAAATGGGCCCTCCGGGAGGGTTCCGTCGAAAGGAAGGGCAGGAATGTATTGATTCGCCATAGTTAGAGTGTTTTGGGATTGTGATTCACAAAGGCTTGTATTGCGGAGAAGGAAGTTAACCAGGAGTATTGCAGTAACTGGTGCAGTTGCTAAGGGAATTTTTCAAGAAGGTAGTGATTTATGAACTTCCAAACATTGATTGTTAAATGGCGTTTGAAAGTCCCTTGGCGGCGGGCAAGTTGTTACGTACGAAATTTAGAATTAGGTTAAAAGCCCAAGGTAAAAAGAAGAATGGGCCTAGCAATAGGGTTGATTGAACTGGCTGAAGGACACCGTGAGGAAATCAAGGAAAATAGATTTATTTCTAAGGAAAATACAAGACGGAAGGTCCTCAGGTCGGTAGGTCCTCAAGACGGAAAGACCTCAAGTCGGAAGGTCTTCAGGTCGGGAGGTCCTCAAGATGGAAAGACCTCAGGTCGGAAGGTCTTCAGGTCGGGAGGTCCTCAAGATGGAAAGACCTCAGGTCGGAAGGTCTTCAGGTCGGGAGGTCCTCAAGATGGAAAGACCTCAGGTCGGAAGGATCTCAGGTCGGTAGGTCCTCAAGACGGAAAGACCTCAGGTCGGAAGGTCTTCAGGTCGGGAGGTCCTCAAGACGGAAAGTCATCAGGACGGGAGGTCCTCAAGACGGAAGGTCCTCAAGACGGAAGGTCCTCAGGGCGGAAAGACCTCAGGTCGGAAGGTCTTCAGGTCGGGAGGTCCTCAAGACGGAAAGTCATCAGGACGGAAGGTCTTCAGGTCGGTAGGTCCTCAAGACGGAAAGTCATCAGGACGGGAAGTCCGCAGGTCGGGAGGCTTTCAGGTCGGGAAAAGGAAGAAAGTTAAGATCTCAAGAATTGATCCAAATCCAGACCGAAGTCGGGCAGACGCGGAGGTCTGTTAAGAGGAAGGTCGGGCAAGGAAGAGGTACGGACAGACGCGGAGGTCTTCGGTCGAAGACGGAGGGCGGCTGATGCGGAGGTCGGCCCAAGTGAGGTCGGGCGAAGAAGCAGGTCGGGCGAAGGACGAAGTCGGGCCAAAAGAGCGGAAGGTCTGTGGTCGGCTCAAAGAGTGAAATATAAGGATAATTTTGGTCTGCTGAGGACACGTGTCAGCATGAAAAGGGTTGGAAGACGGTTGGGAAGGAGACGTTGTAACCGTTCGGGTGACGGTTTTCAGTACGGATTCCCAGAGAATATTTAAAGGTTTGAATCATCATTTGGCAAGGCATCTTCAATCAACTTCAACAAAGCAAAGTCAGATTTGGGGATCACCACTTTAAATTTCAGTCTTTTATTTTCCAGTTTATTTTCTGTACCATACCGTGTTTAGAGATTCCTAATCTCAGGCACTAATTAATCAAGTTTAAGGATATTTTCTATATCTTTGAATTTTACTTTATTTTTGTTGAAAAATTACATCAACAAGAACCAAACAAACTCCTACATTCACTTCATAAATACAAATAATTGGATAAAATAATTGGTTCAATTTAGACAAGACTTTTGAAATTTTAAATATTTTCTAAAATTTTAAGAAATAGGAAAAAGTTAATATCTTATAAAAAAAAATAAAAATTCATAAGATATTTTTTTTCTAAAAAAATAATTTTTAATGAATAGTATCTAAAAGTTGAAAAGTACTTATATAAATTCGACATAAATATTTCATCCGTCTCAATTCAAAGGGTTCTTTGAAATTTTGTAGTATTTAAAAAAAATAATATTTTATTAGTTAGTAAAATGTATAAGATAATTTTAATATTTTTATCATTTGTATTTTATATATAAATTAATTGAATTTGTAATTCATATAAAACTTAAAATAATATTTGTGTGATTATTGTTACTTTATTAAAAAAGTAAATGTTTTTGGGATGGATGAAATATATGATTACATAACTCATACATAAAAACATCATTATATATAATATTAATAAATTTAGGATTAATGACAATTGAGGCGAATTTTGCCACGACTTGCCTCGACCCCATTTTTTATGGGTGAGTTCGGATCTAAAACTTTATAATCGGATAGAATTGTGTGTTTTAAAATATTAAATTTACTAAGGCTTTGGATAAATTGCAAATTTGATATTTTTTCTTATTATTATTTAAAAAAAAAAAAAAAAACCGTATCCAAACTTAGCTCCATCCAAACCTGTTTACATTAATAATTAAAAAAATTAATAATATACTATAATATTTTAATAATTATACATGTTATCTAAATTTCTAATTCTTACATGGTCTTTATTGGTTTTTATTTATTTTTTAAAGATATTTCAAAACTAATGGTGTAAACATAACACGAGCAAAAAATTGAAATTTTAATTTGAATTCCAACTTATTTCGATATAAAAATGAAAAAAAAAATAATAGTACTACAACTTTAATTTTAATAAAGATTTATATAGTATAAATTCTTTATTTGAACTAGACCATTTATTATTTAATTTCATTCACTTCCTCTTCTAATCACATTTGATTTTTCAACAACAGGCTCAAACTATCCTTTTTAAGCAGACTACTATAATTTCTTAAAATACTACAAGCAAGCCATCAGTTAATTAATACAGTGTATTTCTTTTATTAATATAAATATGATTATCTATTGTCAATTCATTTATTTCAATCAATGTGCATACATTATCGTACCCATATTTAATTTGATTGGTAATAAAATACAAAAAGATAAAAATAAAAAATAATAATAGAGGATTGAAATCGTGTGATGTAATGGTAGAACAGCAGGGAGGATTGCTTTGGAAATAAAAGAAATCCAGGAATAGAAAGGAGGATAAGGTTAAGAATTAAATAAAATATGAAAACTTACTAATTAAATCGATCATATACTGTGTGTGTATTCAAAGCAAAGCATTCGTAGTAGTCTACGTACGTATGTTGGTCTCTATCATTCCTTCCTTTCGGCTTGCTTAATTATGAAATTCTTATGCTTATTGTAATGTGCATAAATATACATACATATATATATATATATACACTACAAAAAAAAAAAAGGCTATTTTGTAGCGAAATCTTAGTCGCTACAATTTTCTTGCTACAAAAGTTATTATTTGTTCCAGATATTACCGTAAGAAATAGTATTTTTGGTATGGTCAACACCTATTCTTTTGTTGCGGTATATTTCCGTTACAATTACAATAATTTTATTTTAAATTTCAAAATAAATCTAAAATAATCTAAAATAATATATCATATTAATTTACATATATATGTACGTCATGTATAATACATACATAATACTTATATATTAATATATACAAATTAAAATTAAAATAATTATTTATTTTAAAATAATAAAATTTCAAAATAAATCTAAAATAATTTAGAATAATATATCATATTAATTTACATATATATGTATGTCATATATAATACATACATAACACTTATATATTAAAATATACAAATTAAAATTAAAATAATTATTTATTTTAAAATAAAAGTATTATATAAATAATAAAAATCTACCATAACCCTAATTAGCAGCAATCGCGCGCCGCAGCCCCCTCCGTCGTCTTCTTTCTTCTTCGTCTTCTTTCTTCTTCTTCTTTTGTCGATCTCTTGGTTCGTCTTCTTCCTCTCGTTGTCGTCTTCTTCTTTGTGTTCTTCTTTACCGACTGGCTGTCCTCCGCCCTACACCCCTGAACCTCAAACCTTCCCACTGTCTTCGGCCGTCGACCGCGCTCCACCGCTGTCCGCGGACGTCCTCAAACGCGAACCATAGCTTTTCCTATAAGTTTGGATATGGGATTAATTCTATTTTTTTTTCTGCCTAGTTAGGCTTTTCTGATTTTTAATTTTTGTTCGTAATGTTAGATTTAGGGCTTAATTTGTTACATAGATGATGAGAGATTTTGTAATTATATGGTTCGTCTTGACACTACTTGATAATTAGATTCATTCCTCTTGTGCCTTACTTTATGGATGACAAATAGCCTTTTCCAGAAAGAAATTATTCCTGCATTTTTACAAGTTAGAGGTTTAACTCATTACTGGGCAGCTAGATATAATATTTTTAGTTCTAATGGAATTTTTAAGTGGGAAGTTTGTTCATGGCATGTCAAGTTGTTCCTGAAGCACGTGATTAGCATAAACTTTATTTTTACAGGTAAAATTTACTATATAGTTGGTGGAGGCAGAGCACATATATAAGTTTATATATATGTCTGTGTATTGTTTGTATGAATGAATATTGCAATCAGAAAATGGGAGGGTTGGGTACATCAACCAGAAGAATTACTTGGATTATAAGGTTTGGAGACCACCTCCAAATTTAATTCCAACGGGGACCACATCATTGGTTGCTTCTCCAAACCTTCTAGAAGCTGTTGTATATATGTTATATATATATATATGTGTCTGTGTAAGAAGATAGTGGTGCATTCTGTTGTAGTTCATGTTCCATGCTGATAAAGCACAACAACTGCCAAAGGCCCAGTCTAAATATACCATCATCACTGATATATAATATTGTTTGTGTTTTCTCTGTTACTCGTTATTGCTTTTATAAAGTGTTCTGCGGATTCTTCGATCTACTCATGTGCATTATGGATGACACGAGGCGTCTTTGAAATTGAATAGGTGTGTCATACCTGCCATTGAGGGACAACGTACTTTTGGGCAGAAGTCTAAGCGTCGATCCAAGCTTGCTGCATTATAGTAAGTTATTCATGCATCAATAGTATATCACATTACTTGTATAGTTTTTATGATATGAACATTCGAATTATAGTGCTGATATTCATATTTTTAGTTCAATACTACTATTTTCGATAGTTATATAAGCCGAGGCAGGTTAGTATTAAGAACCAACTTGAAATAAGTTATCTTAGGGTCTGAAAATTATTTACATGGCACGCTATTAAAGTGGTACTTATATCTTGATCCACATTACAACATGTGTTTAATTAAGTGCATATGATATATGTTAATGGGATTATGAAAAATCTTCAAACTTTTTCTTTCTTAGATGGACAAGAGTTGGATTGACGAATCGAACCATACTTCGTCTACTTATTTGGATGGTGTGATACAATTCTTAAACTATGCTTTTTGTAGGAGGGACATAGACTCGGTTGTATATTGCCCATGTAGGACTTGTTTAAACCGTGCCACTAATACTCGTAGGGAGATATTGCTTCATTGCATTAGGTATGGGTTTGACCTGTCTTACAGGGTGTGGACTAGCCATGGTGAAGTTATGGGTGAAACATCAACTAGCACGGAAGACAGGCAAAAGTCAGCACTGTGGGAAGATGACCTAGATATGCTAATGCGCGATTATGCTATGCCTGACCACTTGGGTGAAGGGATCAATGAAGGCAACACTGCGAACGATGTAGGCGACGACCATAGAGATGACAACAATAGTGGGTGGAGGCAAATACTTGAAGACATGCAAAATGATCTTATCCCAGGGTGTAAGAAGATTAGCAGGCTTTCATTTATTGCACATCTCTTGCATTTGAAGGTTCTATTTCAGTGGTCAAACCACTCGGTCGACCTACTATTAGAGCTATTGCGGGATGCCCTACCAGATGCTGTGATCTTGCCGAAGAATTACTATGAGGCAAACAAAATAACAAAGAAGTTGGGGTTCAATTATAAGAGTATAGATGCATGCATTAATAACTGTATGTTGTTCACAGGAGATGATGTAGAACTCAAATCTTGTGCGATTTATGGGGCTAGTAGGTTCGTTGACAGCAGCCCCACTAAGGCAGCAAAAAAGATGAGGTACTTTCCCTTAGTGTCCCGTTTACAGAGATGGTTTTTATCTTTGAAAACTGCAGCTTCCATGCGTTGGCATGCTAAAGGCCGTGTCAACGATGGACTGTTACGCCATCCTGCTGATAGTGCAGCATGGAAAAACTTCAATCGTCGTCACCCGTCATTTGCCAGTGACATACGCAATGTACGTCTAGGGTTGGCCACTGATGGGTTTAATCCTTTCGGAAACATGAGTGTGAGCTACAACATTTCGCCAGTAGTTCTTGTTATTTACAATCTACCACCATGGTTATGTATGAAACAACCATCATTCATCCTATCTACAATTATTGATGGTCCGAAGGGACCCGGGATCGCATTGATGTTTTTCTTCAGCCTCTGGTTGCTGAGTTGAAAGAATTATAGAGTACGGGGGTTAGAACATATGATGCAGTAAGTAAGGAAAATTTTCAAATGCGGGCCGCTTTAATGTGGACCATTAGTGACTTCCCAGGGTATGCCATGTTATCTGGCTGGTCAACACGGGGGGCAAACGCATGCCCTAATTGCGGTATGAGAACACATTCGGCATACTTGAAAAATGGTCATAAATTCTGCTCTTGTGAACACCGGCGATACCTGCCCGACGGTCACAGAATGCGTCTGGATCGACAGTCCTTCAATGGAATGATGGACTTTGCAGCACCTACGACACGCATAACTTGTATAGAACTGGAAGAAAAAATACGCGTTGTGCCAACTACATATGTGAAAGATGATTTGATTACACCACACTTGGCACATCGATCTAGAAAACAGCGTCGCTATGAGCATGAAGAAATGTTAGGGTGGAAAAAGAAGAGCATATTATTTGAATTACCATATTGGGCTGAGAATGATATACGACACAACCTTGATGTGATGCACATTGAAAAAAATATTTGTGAGAATGTCCTTCACACTTTGCTAGGCACGAAGGGCAAAACAAAGGACAACCTTATACAAGAAAGGATTTATAGTTGTTGAATATAAGAACTTCTTTGCATCCTATTCCGAGACTGAATGGTGGTTTTTATTTACCTGCAGCCGCTTACACCATGAGTTCCTCTGAAAAGAAAATATTTCTATCGGTCTTGAAAAATCTAAGACTCCCCGATGGTTTCAGTAGCAATTTATCCCGTAGGGTGAGAGTGGAGCAACTAAGCATTTGGGGATTGAAGAGCCACGATTGTCATGTTCTAATGCAGAAGATCTTGCTATTTCCCTCCGCCGGTACACCTTGTATTTTTGTTATCATTTCTCGAATATGATCATTGTGTACTTGTACAACTTCAGATCAAATGTTGTATTCGTTCTCCTTCTTTAGGGCACTACCGAGAGAAGTAGTTCTTGTATTGATAGAATTGTGTGGCTTCTTCAATTCGATGTGCTCACCCAACAACTCAGTTCGTCAATTGGAGAAGTTACAGGAAAGGGTAGCTTTGACTCTCTGCCATCTAGAGAAGTTATTTCCTCCGTCATTTTTTGACGTGATGGAGCATCTCCCAATTCACTTGGCGGAAGAGGCAATGATTGCCGGACCTGTACATTATAGGTGGATGTATCCTATTGAACGGTATTTAGCTACTCTTAAGAGGTATGTACGCAACCGTGCACAGCCAGAGGGGTCCATTGCATGCGGATACCTCTCGGAGGAGTGTATGTCATTTTGTTCAAGGTATCTTGGTGATGTCGAGACAAAAGAGAACCGAGGCCCGCGACATGATGACCAGGGGTGCACAATTGGCCGTGGTGTTAGTGGGATGCGTTGTAACCCTGATTTTATCTCCTTGCAACAAATTCACGGGTACATATTAGGCAATTCGGAAGCTATTGAGCCAGCAAGAAGGTACTTTTATTTACTCTACGAAAATATTCTTATTGTGCGCATAGTGAATACATAGATTAACTTCAACAATCTACTACTAGGACTCATCTTGAAAGCATAAGAAGGACACGGCCATGTGCAAGTCCCCGGGAAGTGCAACGGATCCATACAGAACAATTTCCAGGTTGGTTTCAAAATTATGTCCGTGTTCATTTTCACTCCATTCTCACTTTGAGAAATAAAACCTATCAAGGATGCATAAACATAACTTATTTGTGCGCTTAGGTAGAAGAACCAACATACATTGTCGAGGGGACGGTTACTGATTATATGAAGACATTAGCACGCGGACCCAACCGTTATGCAACAAGGTACACTTCGTGCATAGTTGGAGGTTTGCGCTTTAGAGTCAAGTCAATAGATGACGGGAAAAAGACTCGGTGTGCCGGAGTGATGCTAAATGCGGATACTATGAGTTTTTCCAGTGCAAGAGACGTTAACCCATGTTCAGGCACCGTTGCATATTACGGTATGGTGACCGACATTATAGAGGTGCAGTACAACAACGAGAATAAACACCTTCTATTCAAATGCGATTGGGTGGACCCAGAGAGAGGCGTGAAAGAAGACGAATTTAGGTACAAGTTAGTAAACTTTTCGCATTTGATGTACTCAAAAAATCTTCCCACGGATGAACCATTTTGTTTAGCTACACAAGCAAGACAAGTTTGGTACATCGATGATCCAATTGATGGAGCATGGAGTGTCGTTGTGCCAATGGTAAAGAGAGATAACTACGATGTTTACACGATGATCGATGACAGATTCAATAATAGGTTCCCCTTAGATGATGGGTATTGTTCTCGGGAATCCCGTGACTATTGGGTGAGAGAGGGCGTAGAAGGTACGATAGTAGAAGGAAAGCAGCTAGGGAATGTATCCGTTGGTATACAAAGCCACCTTGGCGAGTCCTCGGACGAGGAGACCTATGGGGCTCCGATTTAGCGGAGATGAGTCGGTGTAGTAATTGGCTTCACTTTTGGGTTCTCATATACTTTTTGACTTTTGGAAAAGATGAACGGACTTGGCAAGTGGAAACATTACTATAGTAGTCTTTACTTACAGCAGACGATTTTGAATTAAATAAGATAAATAGAATCATTCACACTTAATATATTCTCGGCCTAGTAAGTGTTGTTCCTTTGAAATAGTTATCTTATCATACTACATTTGTTGTTGAAAGCATGTTGTTTCTAATTTATTTATACATTCTTGCATATATGTTGCTAACAGGATATTTGAATTATTCCTTTTAGGTAATGGCAAGAACCAACCGTGAAAGGCAATCTGAATTGCAAGAGGTTGGAGATTCACCACTCCGACGGGTCACAAGAGCCCTAGCACACAGCAGCCCCAAAACAACCAATCACCCGGAGGTTAGTGCACCCTCTCCATCGAAGCAAGTTGTTCCTAAACGGATGACCGCTAGACGCAAGGGTGCCCATGTCTCACGTCTTTTGGACTGCTTAAAATCAATTACCGAAGAGTGGGAGAGAGAGCGGGATGCTCGGACGGCAGCAAGGGCAGATGCATCCTCCGTTCGACGTCCTTTATTGCAGGATTCACAGGAGCCAGAGCAGGTAATATTGATTGTTAGATACACCTAATGAATTCCTTGCCTGCTACAATGATACATCGAAACTCCTAACACCACATGAGTAAAATATTGCAGACGGTGATCGGCGATGTGATTGATGATGATACGATAGGCCCTACATATTAACACTTTATATTATTTTAGGACAATTGTGGGCTTCCTGATTCGGCAGAGAAGGTCGTTATGGCTGACCTGAAGGATGTCTGGCGCCATTGGAAATGCATCATCAAGTCTACATACTTCGCACCACACCAGAATGACGACGAAGCATTGAAGAAAGTCCCCACCGATCGGATTGTCGCTGAAGAATGGCCGTTGCTTGTCCAGTATTGGAAGGATAAGAAGGTTAAGGCAAGTTACATCTCTTCCTTCATCTTTTTATGCTCTTACCATGCTACCTAGGCTACTCCAATTCATATGGGTCGATGTTCGCAGGATATTGCAAGGAGAAATACCAATAACTCCATCAAAAGAAAGTTTCCGCACAAGACTGGCCGGAAACCATTCACAGCGTTGATGGATGAGGTCCTTCATTCTCTTGTTTGTGCAATAATTTAGTCCACAGCTATGAGTCCCCAGTTCTTATGTGTAAGTGAAGTTAACTACCGGTTTCTTATTTGGCTAACTCTTAGATAAAGGCAACAGGGAAAGAGCCTGATAATTTGGAAATTTGGTCGTCTCGCACGAATGGACGTGGTGGTGATTATGAGATGACTGATGATATTTTGGTATGCAAACCTATCTCACCTTTTGTTGAATGGAATGGTAGTACTTCTCGTCCTTCATCTTTGTATTTGTTTGAAATTCTGTAGGCTTATTTGAATGATGAACTTAATAAAATTCCTGTTGATAAAAGAACCCTGGCGGCTCGTGAGGCTTTGTACCGCAGTGCACTCGGGGGGAAAAGGAATAGAAAAACAGCTGTTGATAGTGCTGCCAGCTCTGCCTACCCCCCGGAGTCATTTGACTGGAGGGCCCGATGGTCCTGATCTCCGAAAGCTTGCTGAGGACTATCAGAAAGGCCTTGTTGAGATTAGAGAATTTATGTCTGAATTTAGGAGTGTCCGTGCTGAGATGTCTGAAATTAGAACCATCTGTGCTGTGATGTCTGCTTTGTTGAATTCTTCTCCGCGTGCCTCCATACGGGGCCTTGTAAGAATGCATATTTCGTGTATTAATTAGTTTTGCATTGTACCATTTGGGGCGAGTCATGTTGTTTCATACTCACCTGTTTTGTAGTGTTCTAGCCGCACAGATGGAAGGTCAGAGACCCCGGGGACTGATGTCCTTACCCCGTTGACGGTTAGTAATTTTTCGTTGCTAATTTTATTTGTATTTGTTAACTGAATCACCCTTTAGATAATAACATCCACTACTAATACATCACCACCACCTTCGAGAACATGCATGTAGATTATATGATTGACATTTGATAACGTTTTTCATGTAGATCGGGTCTCGTATTCTTCTCATATCTCGTGGTTTGAAAAAACGCGTTGTTGGTGAGGGGGTGTTGCTATCTGACCCTACCCCAGGTTTGTTGTCAACCTAGTTATATTATCTATATGAAATCGGTTTTGGTTGCAGCCATTTTGAGTAAAACATATTCTATGGTTATTAGTTAGTCAAAATACTAATACATGATATGGTGACAATGCAATTTATATGGAACTGCAATTGGGTGGTTGTTTGCTCTGTATGACCTTGTTGGGTAGCATATAAATCTATAATTAAATATTTTTTTAGGTTGGTGGGTAAATTGATTTTTTTCCCCAAACCACTTTGATTTTTGATGTAACTTACGTGTTAGGTATTTGGATACATTAACAGTACTCAATTAATTGTTGTTTTTAAATTGGTACATGTTTAAGTTGGTTGTTTAAACAAACAGCTTTTCACATGTATCAAATAAATTGATCACGTTGTTGGTTGTTTTATACTTGTGGGGTTTTACAGATGTTGGTCCGGATGTCATCAAGATAGGATCCATGCTATAACTATAGTTATACTAATCTATATTTTACAATTTTGATTACGCTGTTGTATGGATGGTTAAATTAGGCGATCATCTCCGACCTTTTCTCTTACGTATGCTATAATGTTTTAGTTAATATCTTTAATATTTTATATTGATTATATAAAACGTGAGTCTTATTTTCTTTCCGATGATTTGTACATGTTTTCTTCATATGTCCATAGGTGACACTGTTGACATAGTAAGGGTTTTTGTTACATCTGCTACTATTCCGGAGGCTGCGCTTATTCTATGGACAACCTCCGGAGCACAAACACTCGGTGAGGTTGTCCGCGCTGAGCCAATCGACTGGACATTTAAAGATGTATGCAACCACATTTACAAGATTTTCTATTGGATTACAACTTAACCATCTCACAAATAAATTCTTATATAATTTTGCACAATGTTGGCAGCTTGTTCGTCGCCCGTAACTACGGTGTACGGCCACTTGACGGTGCATAGGGCGTTGCAGCATAGCATGTAATTCTATGATGATTGACATTTGTTTGTGGATTGATGCTAACTGAGTCCTTTATGTTGGTTAAACTTGCTGTCTCTGCTACATTTTGTGTGTTTGTTGCTACGCTTTGCCATATATGTTAGGCTATATTGCGAAATATTTATGTTTCTACACAGTGCGTACTTGCTACAACTTATGGTGATACAGAACTGCCGTAATATTTCCATATTTTGTAATGTCATTTGGCAGTATTTTCTCACATCGTACAGGTTTTTTGGTCCCAAAACCATTTTTTTAGGTTATTATTGAAAAAATAAGGAAAACTTTTTCGATACAATAAATTGGTCGTTACAAATACTGGTACAAAAAATATTAACTAGGTTTCTGAAAACCAACTATTGTAACGAATTACTACCGTAACAAAAGCCGTTACAAGTGGATAAGCGTTTATTGTAACGATTCTTTTATAACGGTAAATGGCCGCTACAAATAAATCAAAAAATACAATGATAGCATTACAAACACTGTTACAATAAATGCGTTGACCACCTATTTTTTGTTGCGGAAAAAGTCGGTACAGAGACTTTTTGTAACTCGAGTATATGCACCGGTCAAAATCCGGTACAAAATCGTTACAAATGGCCATTTTTTGGTAGTGATATATATATGGTTCAGAAAATTGATGTGGATTGAGGATTTTTATGAAGACTAATTGGACTTGGGCTCAAAAAAAATTTCAATAATGTTTTAAAATCAGAGTGAAGAATAAAATAAAAAAAAATAATATAATATTTTGTTTATAAATTTTTTAAGGTGAATATTTTAGGTATCTAAATTAATTTTAAAGAAATATTGTAGTCATTCTAAATCAATCCGAACAATTAGACAAAAATAGAAATAAAATAAAAGTAAACTAACTTTAATAATTTAGACTCAATTAACCCAATAAAAACAAATTTGAATCACAAAAATTTTAATATAAACAAGACTTTTATTCATTAAAGTATTATCACCAAGTTTCCTCCACACTCAAAACAAAATGAATAAGATGAAAACAAAACAAAGTTTCCTCATACTACCCTACATTGGAGGTTCCAATTCATGCGAGATTCACTATCGAAATGAAGCACAAGAATATATAGATACAATCGAATTACACATTTCAAGAAATTAATACATCAATTTCTTAATTGTTCCCTTAACCCAAAATCTATCTATCATATCCCCACTCACTCAATGTTCAATAATCTCTCATATTTTTTTAAAGAGACAACTAGGATATTCCACACCATAACAAACTCAATAAAAATGGAATATATTGTGTAACTATCTTTCCCCTCTTTCTCTAAGTTTGTTACAATAAATTACAACCAATTTCATACACTTGGCCACCACTAAAAGATTTTCCACCTTCCACAGCTTGCACGTATCAAATAAGCTGGATCGGATCAACATTTGGGCCACTTTTTTGTTTGATTGGAACAAGTCAAATTGGGCCCTGTCTGTCCAATAAAGTTCGTTCATTGATCAATCCATCTGCAAACAACATTATCCAAAATCAAATCTAAACTACAATCTATTTTTCAACAACGTTTAATACAGGTCAACAACTTATTTGCGTTGTGTGCCGAGAATTTCTTTATCAAGAAGGTGGGATCATTGTTGCAAAACTCGATTGCCAACACGAGTACCATGCCGATTGCATAAAATTGTGGCTCATACTCAAGAATCGTTGCCCTTGCTATAGAATCATAGCATTGTCGCACAAAAAATATACTAGTTATTGCCGGTACTTCTTCTGTTAGTCTCTCTTTTCCTAATATTTACCGGATATTACAACTTAAAGATATATATTGGATTTGTTTGTTAGTTATTTTGTGTTGATTGTTTTTTAAAAAAATTGATACAAATAATATACTAATACTTTCATATTTTGTTAGTAATTTTGATTTTCTTACTGTTGTTTTTGTGTCATACCAACTTCAGTCATACATGCATTGTCAACAATTCATTTGATCTTATCGTATCTTTTTGTTGTATGTGTTCTTTGCAATGGCATGGCATAGCTACACAACAATATTGAATCAACGCCAATAACCTTACTGAAACGAATTCAATCAGAGGAATTTTGAATCGTCATCCATCCATTTCTAACATTGCTGAAACCAGCGAATCCATCCATTTATGTATGATTAGAGCAGTAGCTTTTGAAAGATGAATCAGTCTTCCTCCCCGCCAGACATGCAAAAAACTAACCTTTTTATATATAGTAACCATGTATGTTAGGCGTCATGGCACCACATCATCTGTTTGCACATTCATAACCGCTTAACATAATTCTCATTGGGAGGAGGTTCCCCGGCCCAAAGAAATCCAACAATATCCAAATAAACAAAGCTAACTGTAATAGTAAAGAATGATCTTCTACTCGGAACCATGTTCAATCATGACTAAGATTATGATCTTTTGTGCTACTTCAACAACAACGCTACCCAAGAAAATAAAAAACCATTAATTCACAAAAGAAACAACAAAAGGCGTTCATCACGCAAGACAAGACAAGACAAAATAACTTCATCACCAAGCACTTATGCTATAGTCTAAGTAAACTACCTCTGCAAGAATTATACTCTACTAAACTAAAGTATGAATTATACTCAACTAATTATAAATTAACACATAAATAATATAAACAGAACATATAATTAAACAATTAATACTCAAGTAAACTAATGTATGCAACTCATGAAGTATATTTAAACTACCACAAATTAACATATAAGTAATTTACCAGCACCTAAAATATGAAATATATATTGGCCAATGAGTAGTGAGAAACTCGGGTATCACATCCTCCCTTCCTTATAAAACTTTCATCCTTGAAATTTAACTTACCTGAAGAGTTCTGGGTACTTAGATCTCATTTCATCCTCTCTTTCCCAAGTAGCTTCTTCTACTGACTGATTTCTCCATAGTACTTTGACTAATGAAATCTTTTTATTTCTAAGTTGTTTCACTTCTCTCATGAGAATTTCTAATGGAACTTCTTTATAAATCAGATCTGATTTTATCTCTGTAGGTTCACTTTTCAAACATTTGATGGATCTGCTATGTACTTCCTTAATGCTGATACATGAAACACATTGTGTATTTGAGACATGGATGTAGGCAATTCAAGTCTATAGGCCACTTCACCAATTCTTTTAGTAATGGAGAATGGACCCACGTATCTCGGACTAAGCTTTCTTTTTTTTCCGAACCGCATTACCCCTTTCATTGGAGAAACTTTTAGAAATACCTGATCACCCACTTCAAACTCTAGCTTTCTTCTTCTTTTATCAGCATAACTCTTTTGTCGGCTTTGAGTAGCTTTCATTCTTTCCCATATTTGTACTACAGTTTCACTCATTTCTCAAATCAAATCTGGATCCAAAAGTTTTTGTTCCCCAACTCCATCATAATGTACTGGAGATCGACACTTTCTACCATACAGTGCTTCATATGGTGCCATTGCGATAGTAGACTGATAACTGTTATTGTAAGAAAACTCAATTAAAGGCAAGAATTTGCTCCACTGACCTTGGAAATCTAACACACAAGCTCTGAGCATATCTTCCAGAATTTGTATCGTTCTCTCTGACTGTCCATCTGTTTATGGATGGTACGCAGTGCTGAAAGATAACTGAGTCCCTAATGCTTTATGCAAACTCCTCCAGAAATTAGATAAAAATCTAGAGTCTCTGTCTGAAATGATAGTGAGGGGTACACCGTGAAGTCTAAAAATTTCTTGTATATATATATGAGCATAACGGTCCATAGAATATGTAGTGCAGTCGGTAGAAAATGAGCTGATTTAGTCAATCTATCAACAATTACCTAGACTGCATCATAACCCTTGACTGTCTTGGGAAACCCTGTAACAATATCCATTGTAATATTCTCCCATTTCTACTCTGGAATAAACAAGGGCTGTAAAGTTCCTGCTGGTCTCTGATGTTCTGCTTTGATCTGCTGACAAGTCAAACATTGTTCTACATATCGAGCAATGTCCCTTTTCATACCTGGCCACCAATAATGCAATTTCAAGTCCCTATACATTTTAGTGGCTCCTGGATGTACAGAATAAGGTGTCAAATGTGCTTCAGCCATCACCTCTTCACGAATTATATCAGTATCTGGGACATATAATCGGTTCCTGTATCAGAGTACGTCATTCTCTGTCAACTGGAAATCAGAGGGTTCACCTATAGTGATATCCTTCTTCACCTTTGCAAAATACTCGTCATGTTGTTTCCCTGTGTGAATTCGATCTAGCAATGTCGGTCTGAGTGTTAAAGTTGCAAGTTTTGCTGTTACAAGTCCAGGTTCAATAAGTTCGAAGTTCATCCTCTGTAGGTCAAGGAGTTCAGGTTTCTGAATTAAAGTCATAGCTGCCACTCTTTCTACTGATTTTCGACTCAATGCGTCTGCCACAACATTAGCTTTACCAGGATGATAGTTGATCACACAGTCATCATCTTTCACAAGTACTAACCATCTTCGTTGTCTCATATTCAATTCTTTCTGAGTGAAGAGATATTTTAGACTCTTATGATCGGTATAGATCTCGCAACGTTCACCGTACAAGTAATGTCTCCAGATTTTGAGCGCAAACACCACGGCTGCCAACTCCAGATCATATATAGGGTAGTTCTTTTCGTACTCGTTCAACTGTCGAGAGGCATAAGCGATCACTTTATCGTTCTGCATCAATACACACCCGAGACCATTCTTCGAAGCATCACTGTAAACTTTAAAACCTCCAGTCCCGGTTGGGATTGCTAAGATAGGAGCTGATGTCAATCGTCTCTTCAATTCTTGAAAGCTTTGTTCACATGATTCTGTCCATTTATATGTCACATTCTTCCTAGTCAATTGTGTCAAAGGAGAAGCAATTTTAGAGAAGCCTTCCACAAATCTATGGTAATATCCTGCCAATCCGAGAAAAATACGCACTTCTGATGGATTTGTAGGTTGTGGCCAGTTATTATGGCTTCAACTTTGCTTGGGTCAACTGAAATTCCTGATCCCGATATCACATGTCCAAAGAATACAACTCGATCTAGATAGAATTCACATTTCTTGAACTTTGCATACAACTGTTTCTCTTTTAGAACTTCTAACACATTCCTCAGATGCATCGCATGCTCTTTTTCAGTCTTGGAATAAATCAAGATATCATCAATAAATACAATAACGAACTTGTCTAGAAAGTCTTTGAACACCCGATTCATCAGATCCATGAACGTTGCTGGGGCATTTGTCAGTCCAAATGGCATTACTAGAAATTCATAGTGCCCGTATCTCGTACTGAATGCTGTTTTGGGAATGTCTTCTGCCTTTATCTTCAATTGATGATACCCAAATCGCAAATCAATCTTCGAAAAGATAGTCGCACCTTGCAGCTGATCAAACAAATCACCGATTCGGGGTAAAGGATATTTATTCTTGATCATGATTTTGTTCAATTCTCGGTAATTGATACACATCCTCAACGTTCCGTCTTTCTTTCAAACAAACAAAACTGGTGCTCCCCAAGGTGAGAAACTAGAACGAATGAAACCTTTATCTAGTAGTTCTTGCAGTTGTACTTTCAGTTCTTTCAATTCATTCGGCGCCATTCGATATAGTGATTTAGAAATAGATGACACGCTCAATCACAAATTCAATTTTGCGATCTGGTGGTAGCCCTGGAAGATCATCTGGAAATACCTCAGGATATTCTCACACTACTGGCACATCACCAACAGTAGGACACTGTTTCCCATCGACACCCATCACACTTATCAAATAGCCTTCGCAACAACTTTCCAGTAATCTTTGTGCCTTAACAGCTGATATTATAGGAAATTTGAAACGATTCTTCATCCCGATAAAGGAAAATGATTCTTCACCCTCACACTGAAATAAAATACTCTTGTTCTAACAGTTGATTGTAGCACCATATTTCGATAACCAATCCATACCCAATATCACATCATAATCATTTATGTCCAGAACGATCAAATCAGCATATAATTCTCTACCTTCTATAGGAATAACACATCCTCGCAGGATCTGATTCGTTTGTTTTGTATCACCAGAAGGAATCATCACATCGAATTTAGCCTCAGTTAAGTTAGGTGCTCTACCCAGTTTTCTCACATACTCAATGGATGCAAAAGAATGTGTAGCCCCAAAATCAAATAACACATAAGTCAAAGTACCGAAGATAGAAAGCTTACCGGTGACAACTGGATTTTCTTCTGCATCTTTCTTTGTCATCGTAAAAACTCGCGCTGGTACTCTCCCTTGGTCCTTTTGTGCTCTCGGACACATACTAGTCATATGTCCCCTTTGTCCGAAAGAAGAACAAGTTTTCGGTTCATCACGACAAATCCCAAAATGTGATTTACCACAATTTCGACACAGAGGTCGTGGTGGTGATGGTGGCGGTAGTGGTACTCCTCTTTGCTCCACCCTGGGACATTTATCTAGTCCTCCTTGTTCAGGTCTCTGTCCTTGTCGTGGTTGGAATGGTCGTGATGATTGAGGTTGCCATGCCCTTTTTCTATTATTTCCACCCCACTGTGGTGCTTGCCGCTGCTGAAAATGACGTCTCATCTCTTGTGCATGTTTTATTCGTATCTCAGCTTGTTCAGCAGTTTGTGCTCTCTCTGCAACTCGTGCATAACTCATTCCTTGAGTTTCCTCCATACTCACATCTCTATAAAGGTCAGGCCTCAAGCCTTCAAGGAATCTCTTCACTTTTAATGTTTCAGTACTAACCATGTGTTCCGCAAACCTAGATAACTGCTCAAATTTACAAGGTAGTCTGTAACAGTCATGGTTCCCTGTTTCAACTGTATGAATTCATTCATCTTCATGATTCTGATTGGAGCAGTGAAGTATTTATTTCTGAAAATTTCCTTGAACCTCTCCCAGGTCATTACAGCAACATCTTCGATATTTTTGACTGTGTCCCACCAGTGTCCCGCACTACCACATAACATGAAGGAAACACACAAAACCTTCTCTGTATCTGGAATTCTGCTATATTGGAACATATTGTTTAAAGTTCTCAACCAGTCTTCAGCAACCAAAGGATCGGTAGTATCTTCAAAGATTGGTGGATTCAGTTTACGGAATCGCTCGGACACCAACTCAACAGGCTCTGTTCGTGGTTGTGGTTGATTTACATCAGTACGTTGGTTGTCCGCATTTCTTTTTTTAATAAGATGTTGAATCTGTTGCGCTTGGCGTTCAACTAAGTCTGTCAGCCGAGCTATAACAACCTCCCGATCAACACCAGCAATCGGTGTTGTCTGCTCAGACGTTCTTTCCATACCACTACTTTCACCATGTTCTCTCACCATATCTATTCAACAATACCACCCGTCCTGAACCACATGGCCAATATAATTCATAGTACATATGATGTAGGAACAAGAAATAACTTGACTCTAGCCTACTAAATATGTACCCGATTCGTTTCACATTCGTATTATTAACACTATACCATATATAAGATAATTAAAACTGCTTCTATCCAAAATTTAAACACATACCTATACTCCCAAGTACCATGACTACCACACATGTACTGTACCTCAATACACATGCATGATGACACATGCTTACGAGCACACACTGCTGCAATCAGCAGCTCAATGGCGGCGATCAAACAATAGCATATTAGTAACAGTAGCATTATGTAGAAGTACGGTAGTAGGAATCATTTTACCATATATCATCTTCATTCATTTTGAAACACAGAAGAGCACATAAATGGAAACCAATCGCCATTCATTATAAAATCATTTAATAACCAACAATTCATTATCAAGTAAAGTCTAAAGTCAATATAATTCATGATACACAAATATAAACAAAATTTAAATAAACACTTACTGGGTGTAGCCGGGCTCTTTCTCAAGTTTTGAGCTCGTGTACATAGACAGTCTACAGGAAGCTAACCGTGCTCTGATACCACTCTGACACGACCCCACTTACACTATACTACTAACGCCAATTCACATATAAGTAAACGATAAACATGCTCTAATCTCTCTTAATTACTTACATATATAATAACCTGTTAACCTGTATTAATTTTTTTTTTCTCAGCAAAATATAACATAACTCAACAGTAACCTATTAACATTCACCAAAAGGATCTCAAACCATATCAAAAACTACACAATCGACATACTCTTTATAACAACACCATACAACTTCTAAAACAGACGTAATATGGAACAACAGAAGCAAAACAAGCCACGGTCCTGCCCGCAGGTCATCATCTATGTACACGGTAACTCAAAATGCCTGTAAAAGCGCCACGGCTACTCCAGTCTGACCATCAAGTCATATATCATCAGGATTACCTACAATGCATAAACTAAGTGAGATGTATAAATCTCCATAAGTAGAAATTATGCATGATGTGAAGTTTATCTTAAAATTCTCATTATGCAGAATGTGCTCTCGTTTGAAATCACCAATTTATTTATAAAATACTCTCCAGGGATCCTAGACACACTGCTATACACCGGAAAGAGCTCAATATCCATATATTCAAATCAAACGGTGGCCTACACCAAGTAGCCTACACCGGGTTTCCTCGTAAGGTTTCCCCGGGTCGCTTCTTCCCAGGTCGCCTCTTCCGAATGCATTGTTTAAGCATTGTATGTAAAGTCACAATAGACGGTGGCCTACACCAGGTAGCCTACACTAGGTTTCCCCAGGTCACTTCTTCCCAGGTCGCCTCTCCCGCCCTCGGTGTATAATCAGAGGTCTAACATAGTAAAACCATCTTATTTCATTTCAATGCATGATATGCATGTTTAATGAAAATTCAATGCAACATATTTCACAATAATAGATATTATTGAAGTCACTGGTTCAAACCACATCAATTTTAGAGCTCACAGACTCCTTCAACATCAAATATAGAGTTCACAGGCTCAACCATATCACATACAGAGCTCACAAGCTGAAACTAATTAACTCACAAAATAATATATTTATGCATTGTAGTTGCAAATGAATTTCTACTTACCTGAAATTCGCCAAAAACGTCAATAACCTTAACTCTTAAAGCCCTTTTTCTCGGTTCCAGTATCGTATCTAACAATAATTAATTACAAATATTACCTCAATTTACTAAATAATTATTTCTACTCAAAACTTCCTCTACTTAGTAAAATAACAATAATTCGTGAACACGGAAAAATATCTGAACTAGGCTTTTAACGAATTCGGTGTAAAAGTTTTTTTTTTTTTTTCTTCTTTGCGTTGTCTTTCTCCCTGTTCTTCTGCAATTGAATTGATATGGATGAGGTGGTTGAGGTGGTGGGGTGGGGATTATTACCCTGCCCCACCGCCTTACTTCCTTTTTTTATTATTATTATTATTTTATTTATTTATTTATTCTATTTATTTTACTTTTTATATAATTACTATAATAAATTTTCAAGTGATCTATATTTAACTTACACCACTAATATCCAAATAATTTATCCAATCTATTTGTATTCTACTAGAATTTCAGATAAATCATGATAATTTTTTTTTTTTTTATTAATAAACAGGTAAAGCATATATCAAATTATAAACAATTTAACATTCAGTAGTAAAATAAATAACCTAACATCACCAGTGACGTATAAATAATATAAAGTGCACTCAAAGTATGAATTATACTCAACTAATTATAAATTAACACATTAATAATATAAACAGAATATATAATTAAACTTTAATACTCAAGTAAACTAATGTATGCAACTCATGAAGTATATTTAAATTACCGCAAATTAACGTATAAGTAATTTACCAGCACCTAAAATATGAAATATATATTATCCAGTGAGTAGTGAGGAACTCGAGTATCACATTTATAGTCTTTTTGGGTGGCATATTTTTGCCTTTGTAATTCCGCTGCATTTAGTATTTTTTTTGGACTACTTGATTATTTTAATGAGTTCATAAATTAATTGTTATTGTTAAAGTTTTTATTTGTATATAATATACATATCAATTTCATTTATGTGAATTTAATTAGCAATAAATTAACATAATATATTTTATGAATTGGTTGAAATAGTTATGCTACCAAAGCAGCCTCTACTGTGTAGATTAGTTTATTTATATATTAGAAGGTTTTGTGTGACTTATAAAGCTTCCGATTGACCCAAAGACAAGTCAACGATTAATTAATTACATATATGTTTGGTGGCATTGAATGTGGTGATAATGATTTTGTTATTTGTATATGAATAATAGATCTGTCCAAATACAAAATATTGTTTGATACACTACTTTATTGTCAACATTTAATTGTCAAAACAAGTTTATCACTGGTGAGTTAGTAATTTGTCCAAAGATAATTGTTGATGTTGCTCGATAACTTGTGATAAAATTGCTAATTTGTTTTATAAGTTTACATATGGAACATTCAGTTGCTTATAGACATGTGCATTCAGTTCCTTATACACATTCTTTAATTTTTATGAATCGGGCTCATATGCATTGAATACAATCTTGATTTTAATTAGGTTTAAGAAATTATAAATTCATTAAAACTGCTTGTTGCGTTTTGACGGTGAAAATCAAGTATTTGACATTGCCAAAGTAACCTTTCTTATATGAGATTTTTTCTCAATAATGTAAGTGTTTATATGTATTTTATTTCATTTGATTATTCTTCGGCCCAAAGACAGTCGATAATTGACAGAATAAAATATACATCTGTGATAATATGTATTGGAAGATTATATGGATTTAACTTATATAAATAGTGAATCAGTCCAAAGATTGGTTGTTGTTTGACATTATTTATTATCTGTATATGATTATTATAACAAGATGACTGCTAGCAATCAGTATTATTGATCCAAAGATTGATCATTGATGTTGAACTTAGTGTCTTGGGATGAGAACTCATTATTATTGAGCTTCATTATGCTTTATGAATATTTATGTGTATATTTGTCCAGTCCCAATACTACATGGGGACAACTTTAGACACCGAAAAAAATCAATATTGATTCATTTAGGCTGAATGAATTTCGACTTGACATTAATAGTAGACCAACAAACTCATACGACGAAAAACATTGCAGATGAAAAGTAGTTATTTGAGAAGTGAGATAGGTCCAACGCCTAAGTCTAATGATCATTAAGAAAAGCTCTACATAAACTTTTAGAAGTACGATATATGATGATATGGATTCCTTGTTGAAATTAAGAATCACTTTATCAAAAGCGATAAGGCGGAAATGAGTACTTTTCTTACGAGTCTCATTACCATAAAGTATAACGACAAACATAATATAAGGGAAAACATCCTGAACATATATAATATTGCTACTAAATTGAGGGCACTTAAGTTAGACTTTTCGGAGGACATATTTGTCCTATTGGTCTTGCTCTTGAAATTAGTTTTAATTTCAGTTCATAGATACACTTGGGGATGGATTTTGGTGTAACAACTCACATCGGTATGTCTATTCAAGATTATTTCTATTGTCGAAAATCAATTAATGTTGAAAAGATACATTTACATGAGTGACGGCAAGAAAGTTAAAGTTGAAGCCAATAATAATTTTAGATTATTATTAGGTACTGATTATTATTTGAATTTGAATGAGACATTTTTATGGTATCATATTTAGTCTAAATTTAATTTTGATCTCTATTTTGAACAAATTCGGTTATTATTGTTCATTAAGATATGGAGTTTTGTCTCTTCCAAAATTCGAAATTGGTTGGAACCAATACCTTATTTGATGATAATAATCGCCATTTGCTTAATTGCATGGGTTCATATCATGAATTAGTTATTGAACATATTCATATAGCTTCCATGGTTGCGGATCCACTTAATTGCTATAGGGTTTCTACATAAGTTCTATAATGAGCATGTTGCTTGTATGAGAGTGGAACCATATATGATCTTTCGGTTTAGTGGGAGCTGATTAGTAATGTTCACTATTAAGTTTTAATTCAGTATTCAGTTGTTCTGAATTAAAATTAAGGTGGATAAGTTGGAAATAGGCATGTTAAGATCACATTACATGAAATGAAATTTTCATGTTGTACATCCACACTTGATCAAATCTTAGGTTATATTAGTGTTGTGACCACTGATCGGTTCCATTGCGATAAATGCAGTGACGACCGCTTTGATCCGCATTGATGTGATTTATAGATAAGATTGGTAAATTACATTAAAGGATCCGATAGAAAAATATTCATGAGTTCATAAGGTTATTCAGTGTACATTTACCCAAGTGAGAGATTGTTGGATTAAAAAAAATTCAATAGTGGGTTAAATGTAACTATTTTGACTATCAGGCGGGTTAAGCCTATC